CCCTGGACGCCTCTCTCAGCCCCTCGTGGTGGCACGGGCTGCCCGGTCCTCTGTGAAAGGGCAGGCGGGAGGGCCGCCCGCCGCTACCCCTGTTCCCAGGAATGGGGGCCCCAGCACCAGCGAAAGCGATGGCCCCTCGGCACTCCAGGGGACTTGGGCCTTAGCTTCGCGTCAAGAGGGTAATTTTCCTAAACGAAACTGCTTCATTCGTTCGCTTGTTCGTTTGGGCAGCTACTCCGTGGAAAAGCCACAGCCTTCGGCCTCAGCCCAGGCGCTGTTCGCGGAGGACCCCGACGTCCCGCCGCAGTGCTGGGAGGAGCCCGTAGCCCCGAGGCCTGCCTCGCTGGCACGGGTCAGGCTTGTCCTTACCCTAAGAGAAACCCAAAATGGTCTTCGCAAAATCCAATTAAGACATTCCCGCGGCTTCTTCGGGGTGTAGTTGTAGACGCAGGATTCCCGAGCACACAGCCGCTTCTCTAGACCCGGGTCTGGAATTCTGAAATTGACCAGCCTCCTGAATCTCAGCAGATTCAGCAACGGTAAAGGTAGAGCACCGCAGCGGGCATCGCAGAAATGGGAACCCCAGGCCCGAATCCGGGTTCGGAGGTTTTTCTATTTAGGGATTCCTTTAATCTAAAAATATTTTAAGTCCACTTTTCTGAGAAACTAAGGATCGCTATTCTCTTGGCATCCCCGTGGTCTCTTAAGAGACACCAGGGCCACAGAGGGACAACCCCAGGTTGCTGTCCACATGGTGGAGGGTACAGGTCTCTGGGTAATGGCGAAATCCGCAGGCAGCAGCGGCAGCACAGGAGGGGACTTGCTGACCCCCTGCCCTTTCTTCAGACTGCTTTTGGACTCCTGATCTCTACTGAGAAAAGGAAAAGGAGGTGGACTGGGACATGGAGACCAGGCTACCTGGACTCTAGGACATAAAGGCGGCATTTGCTGACCTTCGAGCCAGGCTCAGAGTGCCCTTCTCTCAGCAAATTAGCTGCTGGGAAGAGGAGACTGGGAGACTGTAAAAGCTGACCCTCTGCTCCCCAGTTGTGTGACCAGCCACTGCCACTTTCCCAGCCTTCTCTTCTGCTTGGCTCAGCTGTTCTCAGGAAGCGACCAGAGGACTCTGGCGAGCCAGGAGCAGGGAGACCCACGGGCTCTTACCAGCTGCTGACAGAGAATTCTGAGTTCCACAGTCCCATCTGTAACCTACCCAGCCATCCTGAATATACCCCAGCTCTCTCCCCACCGGAGCAGGCTGGGGAGCCCCAACTGACGGGAAGCTTCAGGCTATGGTCCTCTAAATCCTAAGGAATCCAGTGAGATTGTGCCCAGTGCCTACCTGAGTACCTCTTTTCCCCCTCACCCAGTAATTACTTGCATTCAAAGAAATAAAAGCTTTTATTGGGGAGGGGGTCTTAGACCAAGCGGAAGGCAGAGGCGGTAGGTGGTCTTCGCGGCACTCCCCAAACTGGGTTTTCTAGTTTGAACTTCTCCACGGCCTAAGAGGCTTAGGGCTGGAATGTCCCAGAGAGTCATGGATGGCCCTGGGGGCAAGCCATGGCACATTCCTTCCTTTTCCTAAAATCCCTTGATTCTTATTTGAAGATTAGGGCAGTGTACCCCCATGAATAGGTAGAAGGATGCCCTCCATGAGGACCCTCCAACCACCCTTCCCAAATAAAATTACTAAACCATTCATGGGTGCAGAGTCTGTTTTGAGTGAGCCCAGGCTCCAGAAGAGTCCCTATAGGGACTACTTCAACCCCCACAGCAGCCCAGGCTCCTCTCTGCTCTGCCCAGCCAGGACTCCAAGTCCCAATTTTCCTGAAAGTCACAAAATCATTGTTAGCTCTGTGTGGCCTGGAAGGATGGAGAATAGGGCACATGGTTCCAACTCCCATAAAACCCCCTTCCCTCCTCTTCTCATGTCTCATTGTCAAGTGAGCTGGAGGCTGAAGCAGCAGGCAGGGATTGCTGTCAGACATGGGAAATGAGGCACAACGCAGGTCAAACCTTGCCCAAGGGCACACAGCAAAGCTGGGGGAACACTGGACCCCTACACTTACTCCTGAAAGACAGCTGCTTCCTGTTCTGTGTGCGTGTGTCAGATATCTGTGAGAGTGCAGAAGCCCCTACCCTGCCTGGGATAGTGGCCATCGAAGGGTGTGGCTGGAGAAAAAGAGAGAGCACCCAGGTCCCTTCTCTATTCAATACCCAGGATCAGGCCAGGGGCCCCTGCTCATTCAGCACTGCTTGGGTCCAGCAGAACAGATTCCCCAGGGCAGTCCCCAATAGTCTTACCCACAGTAGTCTGAGGACTTAATAGATATATGGAACATCACCCACAATGGTTTGAAGGCTTTTCCATCCACAAAATAGGCATCAATATTTCTAAATATAGGGAGTATTGTGACAGCCCAGACTACTGCCAGAGGCTTGGGTCCAGAGGGGCACACAGCAGGTGCTCAATAACTGCATTAAATTCATCAACAGTGAGGGATGCAAGCCCCTCAGGCTGAATAGCTAAAGCTGCAGGGTCACAAGACAGTCCCCATCCAAGGAAGACCTGATTCTTTAGACCCTCTTGGGAGTGGGAGGGCTGTGACCTTCAACCCCTGGATATTCATAGGCAGACCATTCATTCCCTGTTCCCACCCAGAAAGGCACTGTGCTTCACACCTTGACCTGATACTTGGTGTGCTTAGAACACATCTCCTTTTCCTTACCAGTCAGATTCTGTGCCAAACATCGTCAGCATTCTGGGGGTCATAGCCTGGCTGTATGTACACATATGTGACTGTACTCAGCACTCCTGTGTGTGGATGCAGTGAATATGTGTGTTTGTGTGTACACAGCATAACTATGTGGGCAGCCAGTATGTATGTGTGTATGCATGCTCCTGTGCCCTGTCTGTACCCAGGTAGGCTGGGTAGCACGTTGTCCTGTCAGGGTAAAAGCAGCTACAAGGTGGTGAGTGAAGGGGCACCCCTGGCATGCTGCAACACCTAGATACCTCCTTGAAAGGAGGTGTCTGCTACTTCAGGAGGCTCAGCCAAGAACTGTGGTAAATGAGTTGATGGCAAATGCAGCAAATGCTGAGCAACTATACCTCATGTGTCCCCCACCTACCCCCTGCGCACACACACCCCTAGACTAATTTCATCCCAGGGGGTCTCAACTCAGAGAAACTTTCCTTTGGGAAGAGCAGGAATATCTGAGACTCCCCAACCCCAACTCCTAGGTGCGGCTAGCCTCAGTCTCAGACCCTGCCCCCTGTGCTCATGGGCACCCAGTGAGAATAGGCCAGGCCCTGAGGAACTGTGCCTTCTTCCTGGGGCCCAGAGCTTCGGACCTTGGGGTGAGGCTGAGGGAGTGAGAGGCAGGCCTAGTTCCACCCTGCACTTGCCCCTGCCCCTGCCTTTGTCACCAAGGAGCTCAGCCTGGGTGTGCTTAGAACACACCTCTGATGTGGAGCCAGGGTGAAGGCTCAAGGCAGGGCCTGAAGAGCATCCCAGATGCTGACAGCCTACATGTTCAGTCCCAAGCAGAGACACCCCTCCTCCCCTGGGAGGACCTGAGGATGCACTGGGCCCTGGGGGGAGGCACTGGGCCTGAAAACTAGGGCAGTGTTTCTCCCCCAGGCTGTGATCCAGCCCAGCACTTCTCCTGTCTAGTGGAAATGGTTAGCAGGTAGGGAGCAGAGGGCAACCTCGGGTCCAGCTGTGGCCAGAAAAACAGGTCAGGGTCGCGCCCTATCTCCCCAGCTGTCACCTATTTACTCTAAGGTCTCAGGACCAGTTAACAATTGTTTAGCAAAATCCTTCAGCAAACTTCACTGAAGCAGGATGATTCCTAGGGATAGGGAGGGGAATGTCTGTGCCTGTGCCCATGAGAGAAGCTCTACTATAGGCTTCCTGGGCCGCAGGCCCAGGGTTGGGAAACTGTAGTCACCTGGCCTGCCAGGCCTGTGCCTGCAGCTCTGGGAAGCCAAAGTGGAGGCCCCAGGCGGCTACAAACCTGCCCTGAAGGGGGCAGAGGCCCATCCTGTGGCTGCCAAGGCCCCTGCCCCGTGGATTTGGCCAGAGGGTTCAAGATGCAAAAACAAGGGGAGAGAGTCCTACAGAAAAGGCTGGGGTGTGTGGGGGGTGGGGGGGCTGGCTAGAGCTCTCGGGGTCTCCTGCTGTACTCGCCAGCGGCCTGGAGCCAACAGAAACGTTTCGTCTGATTAGAAGCCATCAGTTCTATCCCAATCCCGGAAAATTGACTGTGGTGCAGAGGCGGGGGCCTAAGAAGCAGCCTTGGGGGAGAGGGTCCAAGCTAATTAGGAGGCAGCATCCGGGGGCCCATTAGAGCACAGGCTGCTGTCACTCAGCCGGGCTCAGGTCCCGAGAGAAGAGGCCGAGGCAGGAGGGGCTGGGGGCCCCTCGACGAGGACACTGCTAGGAGCTGGCGGGACCGACCCTGAGCTCTGCCCCTGCCCTGGTACTGGCTCCGAGGCTCCCGCTCGATGCGATCCTGCTCAGTGAACATTCACTCATCCTGAGCTGTTCTCGCCTGGGAGCTGGGGACTCTTCGGCCCAGACAGGAGTTGACTCTGAGCGAAACAAGTCATTTGGGGCTCGAGGTGGGCACAAGCCACGGGGGACTTGCAGGCCAGACGCGTTTCTTTTGTGAGGCCGAGGGAGAATTCGGTGTGTCACCGGGGAAGGAGGGAGAGGCGCGGGGAGGCCGTGGGGGGTGGGGGGAGGGGGCGCGGAGGCGGCGGGAAGGTGCCTGAGAGGAGGAGGGCGCGGGCGAGGCCAGGAGGGAGGGCGGCAGAGAGGGCGCGGCGGCAGCGCGGGCGGCTCGGGGCTGGATTCCGCCCGAGCTGCCTCTCTCGCTCGCTCGCTCGCTCCCTCCTCCCCAACCCCCTCCCACCCAGGCCCACCCCACCCACCACCCCTGGCGCAGGGACTGCTGGAACCTGGCGGTGCGCTCTGTCGCTTTAAGACAGATTCTGCCGGCGCCGTCCGGAGCCTTAGAAACCGGCCCCGGATCGGGAGCCGGGGCCGGGCGGGCGGCTGAGGCCCGAGCGGCAGGAGCGGAGCGCGAAGCCGGGCGCCCGGTCGCGAGAAACCGCTGCTGCTGCCGCCCGCCTGGCCCCGCAGCCCCAGGCGGTCCATGGGGCGGGCGCGGAAACGTTGCGGGCGCGGGCAGCCCCGGGGGGCGGCTGCTTAGGCACTGCGCTCTTGTCCCCGCAGGTCGCAGCCAGGGCGGCCGGGCGCGCCCTGCCCCGGCCCCTGGAGCGCCCGCCGCGGTCCCCGCCTCCATGGACGCCTTCAAGGGGGGCATGAGCCTGGAGCGGCTGCCGGAGGGGCTCCGGCCGCCGCAGCCACCGCCGCACGACATGGGGCCCGCCTTCCACTTAGCCCGCGCCTCCGACCCCCGCGAGCCGCTCGAGAATTCCGCCAGCGAGTCGTCCGACACGGAGCTGCCAGGTAAGCGTGGCTGCCGGCGAGGCGCACACGGAGCCTGCCCGGGCGCAAGAGCCAGGAACAGGGCCTGGCCTCCACGCCTCGCGTCGGGACCTTTCCTTTCCCCATTCTCCATTTGACCGTGAACGCGGAAATTTACACGCGTTATAAAGCGGACATTTAGTGCTTTGCGAAGGCACTTCCACACGGTTCCCACGCCCCATGAGACCCGCAGATGCATGAACCTACAACCTGAGGGGCGGACTGACAGCCCCTCTTGATCCGGAGCAAATAGAACGGGGTGTAAGTTAGGTTTGCGCAACTGAGTGCCATGGGGCCACTCCGACCGAAGGAGAGGAGCAGATCGAGAAGGGAATGGGGCGGCGGGTGAGAGAAAAGTACCCAGAGAGACAGAGAAGGGGACAGACACCCCCGACTGTGGGTGACAGATTGACAAGGAGACACCAAAGAGAAGGGACGGCGGTAAAAGTCTAAAAAACAAACAGGGTTGGGGGTGAGGGGCAATTTAAAGGAAAAGGAAAACAGAGGACGACGAGGGAGAGCCGGCCAAGGGGTGCAGCCGGGCTCTGGGCAGGAACCCCTAAACTTGGGATCCCGGCCCCACATGCGCCGCGGGAGCCAGGAGCCTCCAGGCTGCCCGGCCAAGGCTCCGACTCCGCTCGGAGCCCGTCTCCGTCCGCGCTGCCTTATTGTTCGAACTCAAGCTTTTCTCCCCGGGCGGAGCTGGGCCACCGGGTGGACGGTGCGAGCAGTAGCTCGGTTGATCCCCGTCCCGGCCCGACCTCCTGGGTCTCCAATCAGCTCCCATACTCGCAGTCCTAAAGCGGCAGCGACGGCGACCTCCACACTCCCTGGACCTTGGGCTCCTGTTCTGCGTTCATTTTTTTTAATCCACTGTCTAGTGTTTCTCTACGCGTTTTTAATCTCTATTTGTTTCTGTTTTGCATCCCTAAGTGACTTTATCTGAGTTTCTGTTTGCTTGGTTTAAAAAAAAAAAAAACAATTAAGGCTGGACTGTACTTTTGTTTTCAAAATTTTTAAGCATGGCCTTTGCTTGTTTTTATTTTTAAAACCCAGAGAAATATATAGTTATAGGTTGCTTTTTAAAACCATATCTTTGAGGATAAATTTACATTTTAACTGTATTTTTACATACATAAAGAATTAACACAATATGTCTATTTCTCAGGAATTTAAAATATCTACATGCAACATTATTCTATGGGAGATTTTTTAAAGTCAATCCAAAATGGCGCGTTTCTCGGGTACTTTTTCAAAATCCATTTACAGCACTGTTATTTTGGGAATTTAAGTTATCTAACTATAATGTTGTATTTCCCTGGGATTTAAAAATTTACCTCTAGGAGGACATTATTGAGAAGGGGTTAAAAAGCTATCTACAACAGTACATTGATTTTTAAATCCCAGAGAAGTAAATGCCTGTGTCTGCCTGGAGTTTATACACATACAGCACTGTATTTAGTTAGGGGTGTGTTTGTGGCTTCTTACTTTGCATCTGCTCTGTGTTCCTACCTGACTATTTTTAAGAGTCTGTGACCCTTTCTATGCTTTTAAGCACAGAGCTGTGAACTTTTTTGGGCTTCTGTGTTTTGCTTCTAAGTTCTTTTTTTGTATTTCACTGTTTCTATGACTGCGTGTGTTTTGTGTAGCTACAAAGGAGAGAGGCTAGAGCTCCAGGTCACCTAGACAGTCTGGGCTGCCTGGGCTGCTGCTGGAGAAATTTTCTGGGCCTTGGGACTTGAGGCCTGGAGCTGAGGCCGAGAACAGGGCTGCGTCGTCCTGCCTGGTAGGGCTCCTAGGAAGACCTGGGGAGAAGAAAGTAGAGGGGCTGCAGGCCACACCGCCCAGTTCATGCTCCATCGACAAGCTAGTTTCAGAATAGAAAAATTCTATCCTAGTTCAGAAAAGCAGACAAGACACCTCTCTCAAATTTAGACCGACTCTTGAAAATCGTACACTTGCGACTGACATTAGAAGTTGCGCTCAAGCCTGAGCCAAGCTGGGAGAGCAGGCCCTGCTCTGCCAGGAGCCTAGGCTGGGGGGCTGGCTGCTGGGCTCTACTCCAAGCACCCCAGAGGTGACTATTGACAACCAGGCACCAGGCGGGCTCTTCCCAATGGGGACAATTCCAGGGCCCCTGGCGGGAGGGAGGGCCGCCAGCGCTGATAGCGGGTTCTTCGATGGAGCCGGGACTGGGTACAAAAGGGCAGGAGCCCAAGGTGACGGGTGCCCCGCCCTGCCTGCTTCAGAGAAGGAGCGCAGCGGGGAACCCAAGGGGCCTGAGGACAGCGGTGCCGGCGGCGCGGGCTGCGGAGGTGCGGAGGATCCCACCAAGAAGAAGAAGCAGCGGCGGCAACGCACGCACTTCACAAGCCAGCAGCTACAAGAGCTGGAGGCCACTTTCCAAAGGAACCGCTACCCGGACATGAGCATGCGGGAGGAGATCGCTGTGTGGACCAACCTCACAGAGCCGCGCGTGAGGGTGAGTCGGAGCACACAGACGGCTGCCGACATTGCCTCTGCCGCAGCCCTCGAAACCTTAGACTCGCGCTCAGACTTTCACTTTTTCCCAGACCTGCTCCGTCTCTCCACCGTAGCAGATTCCACCCTAGGCCCGGTGTGCCCGGCTGCTGCTAGTGCCGCTAGTGCCCTCGGCAGCTGCCGTCTTAGATCCCGCTGACCTGCATCCTACCTGACCCTCCGGCTCTACCTACCACAGCCCCAACCCAAAGACCCGTGGCCCCAGTAAACTTTCCACGCCCTGTAGGGCCCAGGGCCTACTCGGATGGGACCACCCTAGACAGCGCAGAGGGTTCCCCACCGCTGGAGACCTCAGAGCTGCTGGCGCCTTCCCCAAAACGAAAGGGAGAGGCGGGTCCTGCCTGTTAGCCTGTGAAAGGCCTGAAAGGTGCCTAGGCTCGGCAGGGTCTCAAAATTCCTGAGACGGTGGTCCCATCTGTACTAGTTTCTCCAAAATTTCTGGAATTCTCCACTTGACTGATCCCCAGCCATTCAACCAGCCAGTAGCTGGGCCCTTTCCCTAATTCCCTTTTCTGTAGGGCTGGGGTCAGGTGGGGCTGGGGGAGGCAGCTCTGGTGGATGAGTGACCGTCAGGTCAGTCCCTTTGGAGATATAAGATTTCTGACCAAGACCAGACTGCACCCTATTTCTCCTCACCGCTTGGTCCCCAGTAAAAGCAAGGCTTTCCTGCCAGAGCAAGAAAATAATTTCTTCTCTGGGGCACAAGTATTTAATCATATTGGAAGCACTTCCCAAGCCAGACCAAAGTTCCACCTGGACTCTCTGCTTATAACCCCAGCTCCCACTCCTCCCCAGTCAGGCTGGCCAGCCGGGACGGGAGTGAAGACAGCACTAAGTAATCCTGAACTCATTAATCCTGCTCAGGTTTATGGTGGGGTGGGGGTGGTATAAGGCAACGTGTTGGTGCTGGAGACTGGAGAAGGCTGAGATACCGGGTCTGGCAAGTAGCTGGGGAAACTCAGCCCAGGGCTGGAGGATGGCGGGGGAGGGCCGAGGGCATGCAGTGGGAAGAGAGGTGAGGATCTACAAGGACCAGGAGTGGGAAAAGAAGTTCTTACTAAATTTTGTGGGAGAAAGTGGAGGAAGACAATAGAGAGAAACTAGTATGAAGTGAAAGGAAATTAAATATTTGCAGAGAAACATATTTGGCATATATCTGGGCAGCAGAGATGAAATTAAATATTTAAGGGAAAGCAAAAGATCAAGTAATTGAGAAAATAAAAACTATTAAGAGAAATAGTGAAGGTCAGATATTTGGAAAGAAGGGAAAAAACTAAATATTGGAGGAAACAAAAGAATAATGGGGGATAACGAAGAAAATAGACTGTTTGAAAGAAAAGAAAGTGGTTCAGATAGCAGGGTGGACCAAACAAAAATAAACATTTGGGACAAAAATGAGAATATCAAATATTGCCAATAAAGATGGAAACAGACCATATGAGGAATGAAAAACAGATTGAACAATGGGGGGAATGGGAAGATCCTAAATTTCAGGGAAGAAAAATATTTTTTGTATTCAAGGGAGAAGAAAAGAGGCTATTTAAGAGCTAGATAGGGGTCCGTTTGGGGGAGAAGGCAGAAGATTGCCTGTTAGAGAAAGGAAGAAAAAACGAATATATTAAAACAAAAGATCCGTATTAGGAGAAGAAAACGGATTTAATTTGGGAAGGGGATAAAGATCAGAAAAACGAAAAGACGAATTTTTCCTGGGGACAGGAAAGCAACCATTACGGAGAAAAGGCAGGGGCGGGGATATCGAAGAAAAGACCCGATATTCGATATTCAGAGAGAAGGAAGCGGAGCGTGGGCTAGGTGGGGCAGGCTTCCCGCCTTCTGCAGCCCTGACCCTTGTCCTGCCGCCCTCCCCCAGGTCTGGTTCAAGAACCGGCGAGCCAAGTGGCGGAAGCGCGAGCGTAACCAGCAGCTGGACCTGTGCAAGGGCGGCTACGTGCCGCAGTTCAGCGGCTTGGTGCAGCCCTACGAGGACGTGTACGCCGCCGGCTACTCCTACAACAACTGGGCTGCCAAGAGCCTGGCACCAGCGCCGCTCTCCACCAAGAGTTTCACCTTCTTCAACTCCATGAGCCCGCTGTCGTCGCAGTCCATGTTCTCGGCACCAAGCTCCATCTCCTCCATGACCATGCCGTCGAGCATGGGCCCAGGCGCCGTGCCCGGCATGCCCAACTCGAGTCTCAACAACATCAACAACCTCACTGGCTCCTCGCTTAATTCGGCCATGTCCCCGGGCGCCTGCCCGTATGGCACACCCGCCTCGCCCTACAGCGTCTACCGGGACACGTGCAACTCGAGCCTAGCCAGCCTGCGGCTCAAATCCAAGCAGCACTCTTCGTTCGGCTACGGTGGCCTGCAGGGCCCGGCCTCGGGCCTCAACGCCTGCCAGTACAACAGCTGACCGCCCAGCCGGGCCACGCGGGCCGCACGGCGCGGGGGCGGAGGACGCACTCGGGGCCTCGCTCGCCGCGCCCGGCCTCGCGCCTGCGCAGCCCCCACTTCCCCCACCCCACTCCGGGTTGGTTTTGTTTGCTTTTCCGGACCCCACTCTGCCCTCCAAAACCAGACAAAACAAAAAGACGTCGGAGCAAAGTGCCGCGAAAAAACGGATGAGTTGCAATTTCCCTCGGGATGGCGCGGGTGGTGTGTGCGCGCTTCCTCGGGCCTCGGCGGTCCGCACCACGCAGGGGACACGGCGCGAGAGGCGCGCGCCCAGGTTCGGCAGCACCAAGAGGACGCCCTCGTAGCCAGAGTTCCCGCCGCGCTGGACCCGGACTGCGCCGCGCCTGTGAACAGGACACGCGGGACCGGGAGCCTGGCCTCGGCCCGGTACGAACCAAGACGCCCTCTCCGAACTGGGCCCGGCGGAGCGTACCTTAGCTCGATCCGGATCCGAGTTGGAGCGGGCGTTGGGCCGGGGATGACGGCATCTAGCCCGGGACCGGGGACTCGCTGAGGAGCTACACACGGCCCCGGCGCGCCCCCAAGAGCCCTCGCCCGCCCAGCGCCCTGGAAACTATTTTAAGGCTACGGAGCTGAAGCTGGCGGCGCGGACGCGGCGAGAGAATGGGGTGGGCTCGTCTCTGAGCACCCCAGCTTCGCCGCCGGCCCAGGCCCTCTGCTCCGATCCCGGGCTAGAAGGTGGCACCCTGGTCCCAGCCGCCGTGCGAGAGTCGAGCCAAGCCGGGAGAGCTCCGGGCACAGCCAGGGCCCCGCTCTCACTTTGCACACCCGCTCTTCGGCCTGCGCCCCTGTTTACAGCGTCCCTGTGTATGTCGGACTGACTGTATAGAATTATAAATCTGTCTATATAGACTTGTCCATGTACGTCTATTAAAACCATAGTACAAGCGTGCTAACCACTGTGACGCCCCGACTGCTTCTTTCGGCTGAGGAGGGAGGCGGGTAGAAAAGGAACTTTGCTACCGAGGGCCCTGAAGGTAGGAGGGAAGAGTGGAGGCAGACCCCGCCAGGGCCCATTACCCCACTTCCCCACCACCATTCCTGACCTGTCTGCCCGGCTTCCGTAGGGGCGCTGCTGGGCACTGCGAGCTCCCAATCTCTGCGCCGCTGGACGCTCACGGTCTGGGCTGCTCACCCTTGGCGCTGCGTGCTCGGCCGCCCTAATCCGGACCTCCTCCCAGCCCCCCTCAACACCCCAGCCGCCAGACTGCAGGCTCTCGGGGTGTGCGTGATCCTTGTCTGCCCAGAGCTTTGGGATGGAACCGATGAGAGCCTCTTTAGGTCTGGGGTTGCCTTTTCTCCTGTGGGCCCAGTATCCCCAATTTGAATCCCTACCCTGGCTATTCCAGGAGGGCTAAGAGTGCAGTCTGGGCCAGTCTAGCCAGGGCCTTCCTCCTCTCCTACCCCCCAGATCTCACCCAAGGGCATTTGGCTTGCCATAGAGAGTGTCCATAACACAGAACTCACTTCTCACTTCCTTCCATCCCAACTTATTGGAGGCTCCTGGCTGCCTCCACCTTTCCCTGGCTTTTGGAAACTACTGAACAAGACCAGCCTGTAAACTGCCTGTAAAATTCTGCTTTCCTTAAGTAAGTCACTCCTAATGGCAAAACAAAATGTTTGCAGCTGCAGCGGGGAAGAAGAGGGCTTGGTAATTCTGCTTTAGAATATCCTTGTGACAGGGATTGACACTGCCCTGAGCTGGACCCAGGCAAGCCCTAGCTGAGATTGGGGCACATCCATGGGCTTAGTCATGAGCTAATAGCTTCAGAGCCCTGTGTACACATTCTCAAAACAGGCCAACACTATTGTCCCTATTATACAGATGATGGAACCTGGGCTCCACCACATGATGTAACTGGCCAAGGTCACACCGAGTCAATAGTCTTTACATTCCAAAGCCAGGCATCTTTCTCACTTTCACATGAGGTGTGAGGAAGGGTCCTTCCTGGAGAACGGCCCAGCCTGATGCTGTAGGACTTGGAGCGTGGGGTTCTGAGAGGGAAAGGACCATATACACAGACTGAGGGAGGTGGGGGAAGGGAGGCTAGCTGGGGCAGGGGGCTGAAGCCAGACCACCCCACCCCCAATGGCTACAGTCCAGAGCTCTGACCCCTCACTCTCTGGAAACATAAACACAGTCACATCTGGGCTCAGAGTGCCTTTTCCAGCCTCACACATCTGCCAAGGCCAAGGGATTCTGGTCTCAATTGAGGTAGGAGGCAGAAGAGACATAGAAGGAGGTGGCACTAGACGGAGGTAGAAGCAAAGAACCGTCTCCTGAAAGTCAGGCCCAGCTCCAGGTGAGAGAGAGGCCAAAGAGGGGCTCTGGTGGAGACTCTGTAGCTATGGGGCCACAGGCCAAACAGCTGCAGATGTGTGTAAGGGTAGCCCCATAACGATTCCATCATTCATCAAGGACCATCAGCAACAAGGTGAGTGTAAGACCCAGCCTCAGGCTCTACCTAGCTGTTCTGACCCAGCTATTATGTGGCTGCTACAGCAGATAGTACCCAGTCCAGCCCTTTCCTGCTGCACCAACTCCAGGATCATCTCTGGAGGAGGGGCTGAGGAATATATAGGGCTCTGAAAGCCAAGACCTCTGAGAAAAGACAGAAAGTCCTCCTTCTCTGCCTGAAGAAGACCAGGGAGGGGTGTCATTCATTCAGCCAGCATTTACTGTGTTTCTGCCCTTGGTACTAAAAGTCGAGCAGTAGATAACAGACAGTCCCTGCCCTCATGGACAAGTAAACAAACACGTGTATAATTACAAACTAGGCTGAGTGCTTTTGAAGAAAAAGTGTTGCAAGAAAAAATGAGAGTCCTGCTTTAAACAGGGTGGTCAGAAAGCTGTTCTAGGAGAAGGCTCCTTCCGTCTTCAGCGGGAAGTGCTATCATTTGCTGAGCCTGTTTGGGGACCAGGGTCCTGTGCTAAGTGTACACTCATCACTTGCCCAAAGTCACATAGCCAAAGTGATGAAGTGGATTCAAACTCAGTGCCCATTCTCAGCACTGGGCTGCCCGTGCCAAGTGCCATGGGCAACAAAGGCTGGAGGAGGGTGGCCTTGAAGAGATCATAATTTCAGCTGGCAACACAGGACTAGCCCCCAGGAAATAGAAAAACCGATTTGTTTTTACCTGGTCCTGACAAAGGGACTCCCAAAGGGCTGCTGCAGGTTTAGAGGCCATGAATTAGGGGCAGGGGGGTGGGCAAGAGGCTGGTACCCAGCACTGCCTGCAGGCCCTGTGGGACACCAAAGGAAAATGGGATTAGCCACTGTGCACAACCTCCAAGAGCCTGGTCATTGAGGGAGAGGTACCAAGTTACCTCCCCTAGCTCTATGGCCCCAGCATCCAAGCAGAAGGCCACAACTAGAAGATCTGTCTTGGAGGGGGCATTGCCCAGGGAGTCCAGGCCCTGGCGGGGGCTCTGTGATGTCCTTCAGCTCTCTATGAGGTAGCAGCAGGGCCTCAGTCAGCAAAAGGGCCAATCTGGGAAATGAGAGTCAGGATGGTTTTAAGCCCCTTGATCTCCTTGCTTCCCGGGCCAGTCACTTGGCTCTCATATTTGCAGGAACCTCTTAAGAGCAAGGGTTTGAGTTCTGGCTTCACCTCTGAGTTGCCTTGGGCAAGAGACTTAATTAACATCTCTGAGCCTCTGTTTCCTCTTCCATAAAAAGGAATAAAACAATCACTTCACACAGTTGTTTAAAGGATTAAATGAGATAATGCACATAGTGTTAATTGGGGTGCTGGTATTATAAGTGCTCAATAAATGGTTATTATTCATGGTGATGTTATTATTAAATATCATTTGGGGTCCAACTTGGTTTTCCTTCCAGCTTTGCTGGGTATCATGAATGTGAGTTATGATTGACAGTCCTGCTGACTTCCCCACCCACCCCCTCCACACCACCCCTGGAACCATCCTAGACTTGGACTCTCAGGAACCCAGCCTGGGAGACCCAGAGGAACGGGGCCCAGTCCCTGCTGTGCACTGGGTGTGGGGACAGGCAGATCAGCAGCAGTACTCTGTAAGGGCTCCCTGCAGCATGGGATGAAGATGCCTGAACACTTCTTTTTATGTTAATCATTTCATCAGCAGCTAAGGTCCAGCCCTTACCAAGCCAGCGGCAGGCCTCTTGCAAGCACTTTATAAGAACTGCAACCTTTTCTCCTTACAGGAGGGAGGGGCTTGTTACTCTTACACTGGAAAAAAGGGAGGCTGAGAGAGCACAGCTAATTCAGGAGAGTCACTGTCCCTCAGCACTGCCTACGAGGTGGCAGCCATCTCTTACTCGGCACCACGGCTGCCCTCAGCCCCTTGTGAAACCCAAGATTGTCAAAAAGAGGACCAAGAAGTTCATCTGGCACTACTCAGACCATTATGTCAAAATTAAGCGTAACTGGTAGAAACCCAGAGGCACTGACGATAGGGTGCTCAGAAGATTCAAGGGCTGGATCTTGATGCTCAACATTGGTTATGGGAGCAACACGAAAACAAAGCACTTGCTGCCCAGTGACTTTCAGAAGTTCCTTGTCCACAACTTCAAGGAGCTTGAAGTGCTGCTGACGTGCAACAGATCTCACTGTGCTGAGACTGCCCATGACGTCCCCTCAAAGCAAAGCCTCTGTGACAAAGAGCAGCCCAGCTGGCCATCGGTCACCAATCCCAATGCCAGGCTGTGCAGCAAAGAAAATGAACAGACACATTGTGTGCACATTGTGTTTGTGTTAATAAAACCATAAAATTCTGCCTTCTGGACGGAAAAAAATAAAATAAAACTTTTGGGAGAGAGGACCTGCACTCAGGCCCTCTGACCAGGTCCATGCTCCCATCCACTGCACTACATACCCTCCTGCAGAGAATCACATTTGTACTGGATGGTGGGACGAGGGATGGCGGAAGGAACAATTATAATTCATGTCAAGAGGCTGGGCTCAGCTGGGCTCTAGGAGAGAGAACAGAAAGGCACCAGGCCTTGAGATTTACTTTCACTGAGTTCACCCCACTGGAGTATGAGAGAGCAGCAGGGGATACAGGTGACAACAGGGACTGAGGAAGCCCTCCGGTGGGAGCAGCAGAATGAGGTGGGCAG